TTTAGAAACTGCATTAGAATTCTGTTTATTCCGAAATGGAAATGAAAATGTACGCAAATTATTACATCGTTCACCTATACAGCATTTCCCAGAACCACGTAGGCCGTTGACATTACGCTGTTTCCCCATGTGCTGAAGATCCTAGCGTAATCTGTGCATGCTCTAATGTCTTCTGTGACCCTCCTCAGCTCAGCAGCAGATGCGGCCAGCAAGGCGGATCTCCTCCATCAGCATCTCTCCGCTCCTCCTTAAGTCTAAAACTCTCTTTTCTCTTGGCTCTTCTTATTCCAGTGATGAGGAGGAGGAGTTTCATAGTAAGTAAGCAACTTTGGTGTCCAGTGACTATTCTTGAAGGTCTGACCAGCTCAGAAAATGCTGTAGGCTTGGTACTAAGAAATTGTTTGGGGACTTTTAGCCCCTTGCATGCCATCCTTTGTAAGTCATTTGTCTTCATGCTTGGCTTTGAGACTTGGTTTGAATAGAACATGTTCTGTCTTCTTTATGCCGCTAACACTGAGCCATTGGCCTCCTGATTCCAGGGCACAAGGTATCTTTCCAGCACACAGGTACCCTCAAAGGTGTAGGGGATGTGTTCCCATCCCATTGTGTACTCTTTGTAATACTGTGTGCTAATTTCACAAAACTTTTTATTTGACAGTGTAAATTTTATTTCCTTGTTTTGTTGTTCTGTCTCATGGGACAGATACCTAGATGTTCATCTGTGGTATTTAAAAGCTATTGTTAGACTTTTTTTTTCTGCTTTTCAGACAGTTTCTTTAAAATACCTTTTTTCTAAGATTAGACCCTATGCGTTAGAGGGAGGGAGTTATATGCGTATTTGTTTCCTACTTTCTCTGTCCTTTAGAACTTTTATTTTTCAGTTCTTTGGATAAGCGTAGGTTTCAAATGAATACATTCTTACTTGATAATGCCTAGTATAAAAACTTTAAAAAGCATCAATTTTAGTAAACTTGGAAAGGAAATAACCCCCTTTATGAAAATTATAATCTTTAATTGTGCAAGATTTCTAGAATACTCCAGGATTGCTTTTAATGGAGAAAGCATTTATAATAGAAAGTTAAATAATGAATCATTTTTATATAACTCATAATATGAGCCTGAGACAGTTACCATATTCATATGATTGAGTACCCTAATTCCCTACCACTTGCTGAACCTAAATTTCAGCAATACTGAGTGTTGCTCAAGCTGGCATTTTCACACTGTTCTTTTTTTTTTTTTTTTGACGGAGTTTCGCTCTTGTTACCCAGGCTGGAGTGCAATGGCGCGATCTCGGCTCACCGCAAGCTCCGCCTCCTGGGTTGAGGCAATTCTCCAGCCTCAACCTCCTGAGTAGCTGGGATTACAGGCACGCACCGCCATGCCCAGCTAATTTTTTGTAGTTTTAGTAGAGACGACGTTTCACCATGTTGACCAGGATGGTCTTGATCTCTTGACCTCGTGATCCACCCGCCTCAGCCTCCCAAAGTGCTGGGATTACAGGCGTGAGCCACCGTGCCCGGCCTCATTTTCACACTGTTCTTAAAGGGAAGTGGCTTATGCACAGTAAGACAAACAGTTGAGTTAATTTGGTTTTAAATGGAGGCCTTATTAAGCATTTGGTATATTTTTCACTAAGAAAAGATGTTTGAAAAATAGACACAGAATAAGATGATCCCAGTTGTAATAGGAGGAAAGTTGTGAAAATCCACTTCAACTTTGGATATTCAAAAATTTTCAAAGCTTTCATTTCAGAGTGTTTGTAATAGGCCGGGTATGGTGGCTCACACTTCTAATCCCAGCACTTTGGGAGGCCAAGGCAGGCAAATCACTTGAGGTCAGAGTTTAAGATCAGCCTGGCCAACATGGTGAAACCCTATCCATCCAAAAACAAAAAATTAGCCAGGTGTGGTGGCGGTCGCCTATTCGGGAGGCTGAGGCAGGAGAATCACTTGAACCAAGGAGGTGGAGGTTACAATGAGCCGAGATCATGTCACTGCACTTCAGCCTGGGTGACAGAGCAAGACTCCATGACTCCATCTCAAAAAAAAAAAAAAAAAAAAAAAAGGTAATATTCTGGGAAGTAGCCAGGTCAGCCTGACAAGTAAACCAAAGTCCCACTAATGCAGAATTATAACCCTATAACAGCACCGGTCACTCTGTTAATGCAACACAGTGGAACCCTAAAAATACAGAAGCTTGCACAAACTTCCGAATCAAGTATCTTCTCAAAATGTGTTTCTTATATTCAAAGGCACTAGTAAGAATTAGGTGTGGACGGGGAGAAGGAAAAGGACGGAGGGGTTGGTTTGTGGCCAAGTATTAATAAATTTGGGAAACTCTGGGTTAACCAGGCTTAGAACGCTAACGTTGTATTACGTTGTGGATTTCCAAGGCGATACTCAATATACTGTTTCTCTCAAGTGTATTAACTAGGAAACCACAATATGTGCAGCACCGTATACAACGTTTCATGAAACTGGTGTCCATGGAACACTAGTTCCTGAAAAACATTGACTGTGTGCATCCAGTAGTTCCAAGCTGAAGTTCCTGCTTGTAATATAAGTCCGAAGGTTATTTCATGCCTTGAAAGATAATCTAGTTGAAATATATTATTTACCCACAATAATACTTTGCAGGCTAACTTTAATGACAGGTTTCTTTTCTTTTGTCCATAATTTTGTCATGGAAGTAGCATTGGCTGTTTTCTACTCTTAGTTGCTCTGAAAACTTGGTGACACTAGAAATTTCAGAGGCATTGGTGGATTAATTACTGTTTTCAGAACCACATCTAAAAGGTCATAACTAAAATTTTTAGCAGTGGAAAAGTTGGAAATATTGTAGGAGTTATAGATTCTCATAGTACTCAGTCACGTATTTGTTCAGTTTTTAATTTATTCCACAGATATCTACTGGAAGCTTATTATTGGCCTGGCTTTGTGTTAGTATTTTTCTGCATTATGAATTTTATTTTTATTTAGTTCATATTATTAGGGTGGTAACTTACTAGGTAATTTTTTAAATGTATAATAGATTCCAGGCCGGCTGCTTACATCACTGAGGTTTCCTTGGGTAGAAAAAGTTTTAAAGCCACTGATTTAAACTATGCTCTTGATTTTTTTTTAAGTACACTAAGTCATCATGAGGTTAAAATGCTGACAGTTTCTTTCCTAGATCATGCAGAACCTGGGGATGGATCCCAGATATTCTTACTCTGCTAATCTTTTCCTCTCACCTGGCTGTCGTTACCATGTGTTCTAAGTGAATAAATACAAGAACCACCCCAAGTTGGGAAAAAGGAAAAAACACAGAACATAATCTTTTGAAGACTTAGAATTTGTTTTAAGATTTCTTACGAATTATTCCTAAAGTAGTTGGCAATTTAAATTTAGCCAGGTGCAATGGCTCACACCTGTAATCCCAACATTTTGGGAAGCTGAGACAGGAGGGATTGCCTGAGACCAGGGGTTCGAGACCAGGGGTTCAAGACCAGCCTAGGCAACGTGGTGACACCCTGTTTCTAAAAAAGTTTTTAAATAATAAATAAAAATAATAACTACAGTTTTGCATATCTGTTCAGAATCTAGAACAGTTTGAGAGTTGAAGAGTTTGAAATGCTGGTAATCTGGGATGCTTTTGTTTTTGTTTTTGTTGTTGAGATGGAATCTTGCTCTGTCGCCTAGGCTGGAATGCAGTGGCGCAATCTCGACTCACTGCAACCTCCGCCTCCCAGGTTCAAGTGATTCTGCTGCCTCAACCTCCTTAGTAACTGAGATTACAAAAGTGTATGCCACCATGTGTGACTAATTTTTGTATTTTTAGGAGAGAGGGGGTTTCACCATGTTGGTCAGGCTGGTTTCAAACTCCTGACCTCAAGTGATCCGCCTACCTCAGCCTCCCAGAGTGCTGGGATTGCAGGCGTGAGCCACCATGCCTGGCCCAAATGCTCAAATGCTGGTAATCTGGTTGTAGAACATCTTCAAATCTTTAGCTGTGTCAGATTAAAATTTTGCTCGCAGTAATCTCAGAGATCCTTGAAACCAACCTCAAGGAGAAAGGAAGGGGTTTTGTCTACGTCGTTAACAATAGTGAAACAGAATAACCTTCGTTTCCCTGAAATATACATGGAAATAGTTCTATAGCTGATCTCCTGAAAACTGAAAAGCATTTGTCACTATGACTGAGGCCTTCCTCTCATCTAAGTCTTCAGTAACTCAACCTTTACTAACGTGGTGGATAAAAATAATGATAATATTCCTTCCAGTTTTTCTTCATATTGCCCTATTGGACAGTCTTACAAATTTAATGACCTGAGGCAGTTTATGATCCAGTAGTGTGGAAGGAGGAAGCATGCGTTTGCCTCATTCTTTTTTATCTGTTAGCCTGGAAAGGACTTTGCCTTGTGTTTTGTCTTCCTCATTTCACAGATAAGGAAATGAAATCCAAAGGTCTCATCCCAAATTAGTGACAGGTCCAAGACTTGATAATCAGCTTTGATGCTCTTTCCTGTTTGCTAATCTGTTTCTAGAAATTATCATGAAATTATTAGCGATGAACTAGATCTTTAGTATAGAAACATATAAAAGCAGGATTAACAGGGATAAAATATGATATTTAATTTCCTATTTTGTATGCTTCCTATGATGTCATCTCAGGAGGACAGTTTGTGCAAACTGAAGATTGATAAAAACTGGAATTAAACGTGCTTCATATGTGTTTAAGCATTAGAAAAAGTTATTTGGAGTCTTTTCAATTACTTGAATCCTGGATTAAACTTATTTTCTTTATGGGAAATTCACTGCCTACTTGTGGTTCTAATTTGAGGGTTTCAAGTTTAAGTTTTCCTTCTTTAAAACCTTTAGAAGGAGGAGGTGCCATGTGCTGACGTTGACATGCTGTTTTTGCTTTAGCTGTGTCATTGTGAATTTTTAAATATTCTACCCACCACCAGTGTTAAATGTTTTGGTTCTAACTTTTCTTCTGCCTTTTTTGTTTTCTAGATTCACGGCCCTTCCACAGTACCTTCCACAATACCAGTGCTAATGTGACTGAGAGGTATTACAGACTTGTTTTGTTACTCCTTTTTTCAGAAATAAAATGAAGGAAATTTAAGATCTGTTAGACCAGTTAATTATATAAACTAAGTTAATTGAGCTTATTGGGTTCTTCTCTGAGTGATAAATTTGGAATAATGATTAAAAGTGGTTTTGTAATGAAGGCTATATCTTTTAAAGTTAATGTCTTCAATAGTTTTCTACTTCTATTAATTACACTGTCGTCAGGATAAAAATTATTGTCTGCATGTATTGATGTGAGGGTACGCTATTATTTGACTTTATGAACTTGCGCACACTTTAATTACGGGGAGTTTTCATTCCTAAACCTAATAGTCTAACAACATTTTGTTTCATATTCGTGTCTGTGTGTGCGCACATTGTATAATACTATTAGCGGTTTTAGGCTTTAAAGCTGTGTTCTTCTGTCTGGATGTAAATGGTACACAGCTTTGTCAAAGTAAATTGATTCTTTACTTGACAGCAAGTGAAAGATTTCTGTTCTGACTCATTTCTGTTTTCATGCCAGTGAGACTGAATATTCTACTTGAAGCATAATTGGGGTTCCTATGGCTGCCCTGCAATTTTTTTTGATGCCTTCACAGAGGCATCAGTTGTGATTCTGATTCAGAACCCTTGCAATGAATGCTTCTCTTTGCACTGCTTTTATAGCTGATTTATTCTTTCTCCTTTCTAGAGCAGTGGTTTTTTACCATTTCCTCTTTATCTTAAAAACAGACTGCTTTGTTTTGTAAACAACGCATATATAAATAAACTCTGACTGCTGACAGGACCCCTTATGGTGCTGCTTCTTCCTGCAGCCTGCCCCGTCACAGAGGCTCTAGAGGCAAACACTGCTGTTCTATGGGAAAGCTCTAAAATAACTATTCTAGAACACCTTAGCCAAGTAATATAAATGGATGCCTTTTCTATATAATGGATTATTTATTCAAAAGGCCAGCTTTTTTTTTTTTGAGACAGAGTCTCACTGTGTCACCCAGGCTGGAGTGCAGTGGCACAATCTTGGCTCACTGCAACCTCCACCTCCCAGGTTCGGCTTACTCCCCTGCCTCAGCTTCTTGGGTAGCCGGGACTACAGGCACATACCACCACACCCAGTTAATTTTTGTATTTTTTAGTAGAGACAGTGTTTCACCATGTTGGTGAGGCCGGTCTTGAACTCCTGACCTCAAGTGATCCGCCCGCCTTGGCCTTCCAGAGTGCTGGGATTATAGGCATGAGCCACCATGCCCGGCCCAAATGCCCAGCATTTAAGAAAATCAACCATTGCAAGTTTCCTAAGTTAGAACATGTCCATCTTGATGGACTTAGATTTTATGTGGGCTTCTTGAACAGATGGATCAGTAAATCTGAATCTACGTAAAGCTCCTAAAATTGATTCTTCTACACTCTGCCTCAATTCTGCCTGCTATTCAGTATGTTCCCTCCTAAAATTGAACCTAGCTGCATGGACCGTTCCACAGTCTTGATTGTCCAGTGTGCCAAAAGGCTAGAAAAGAGTTGTGACATCTACCATTAAGGAACTTGGATATGTAGTCAGTCATAAGATTCCTTGGTTTGCAACCCCTATTAACAAATGCCCCGCCATTCTGTTACATATATGGGTTTCCTTTTAAGCACCTATTTGTTGCAAAGGAGTTTGTAGATTGAGTGCTTTTGTAGATGAATAGATTCCATATAACATAATTATCGAATGGTTGATAGGCCCTTTTTAACATGAGATCACTGAAAAATCCATAATTAAAACATTAACAGTGAGCCAGGCAGTAGCTCATGCCTATGATCCCAGCACTTTGGGAGCCTGAGGTGAGAGGATTGCATGAGGCCAGGAGTTCAAAATCAGCCTGGGCAACATAGCAAGACCCCATCTCTACAAAAAAATAATTGGAAAATAGCCATGCATGTGGCATGTGCCTTTAGTCCCAGCTTACTCTAGAGGCTGAGGCAGGAAGATTGCGTGAGCTCAGGAGTTGAAGGCTGCTGTGAGCTCTTACCACACCACTCACAGCAAGACTCTGTCTCTAAAACAAGTAAACAAAAAACATTAGCGATGGAAACTTAGACAAGTTTTGATAACAGGACCTGGGCATTGTGGTGTACTCTATAAAAAGCCATTCAGCAGCCTTCATCTACATTTTATTCTGCTTCTCATTTATTTAACTTGTGTAGTCCTTTAAAAAAAAAAAAAATCAAACTTCTTGTTTTTATTTAGTATAACAGAAGAGAACTATAATTTCCTGACACAATGTCCCTCCAAGAAAGATTTTGAAGTGAAGAGTGGAACAAAAGTGAGTCGTACATTCAGCTACATCAAGAATAAAATGTCCAGCAGTAAGAAGAGCAAAGTAAGTATCGCTGTGGGCGTTGCTTGTGACCACCACAGTCGGTCCTCAGTAGGATCCTGTCACAGCCTGCATGATACCAGAACTGGCTGAATCATGGACACATAAATGGAAATAAATTCAGAATTACTCTCTAAAATCACCTAATATTTAAATGAAAATAATAAGGAAAATAACAAGAAGTGGAACTACCAGTTATTGAGTTTTTACTATATGCTAAGTGCTTTCTATGTATTATCTTATTTAACCCTTTCAACAACCCTATCAGGTAGGTATTATCTCTCTTTTCTAAAACCGAGTTACCTTACCAAGGATGTTCCTCTAATGTGAAAAGTAGCTCAAACCAGATCTCTTTGGTGTCAAACCCCATATTCTCATTAAACCACAGTGCTTAAATCTGTGATATCAGTTTAAATCCAACAGAAAGGATTTTATGCCAAGATCAAAGGATTGAAAATATTCATATTTGGATTTAGAGGGAAGAATGATTATCCCACAGAAGATTACAAGAACTTTTAAAACTAATATGATTTCTTAGATCTATTTCTAAGCAGGGACATTTTAGAATATATTCTCTTAGTGCTTAGGAGATTAAATATTTAAACTAAGTCTGTGTGTGTATATGTGTGTGTCTATGTCTATTTATATGTCTGTGTGTATGTATAGACAACTCCACTCTGTTACCCAGGCCAGAGTGCAGTGGCGTGATCATGGCTCACTGCAGTCTTGAACTGCCAGGCTCAAGCAGTCTCCTGCCTCCCACCTTAGCCTCCCGTGTAGCCAGGACTACAGTCACATGCCATCATGCTAAGCTATGTTTAAATTTCTTTTGTAGAAATGAAGTCTTGCTGCTTTGTCCTGGCTGGTCTAACTCCTTGCCTTAAGCAGTCCTCTGGCTGCAGCCTCCCAAAGCACCGGGTGTGATCCACCCTGCCCAGCCTAAAGTAACATTTTTTATCTGGTTATTTTTTACATGCTCATTATAGGATTCTTCAAAATATAAAAGTAAAAGAATGAAAATATCCTGTAGTAACCCCACTTAAAGATAAGTATGCTTAATGTTTTGTTTTATATATTTCTAATCTTTTTTAAAAATGTGTTTTGAAAAGAAAGGAAGAAAAGAAGTTCACTTTCATATACCGATTCCCAGTGCTAATCTCAAACTGATTCCAAATATTTGAAGTCCATGGGGAAAAACTTTTCGCCTCTCATACTGTGTTAATCTACCCACAACACCCCCTAACAAAATAAAGACAGAAGTAGATAAACATTTGAAATCGGTTAAGGAACTCTTGCAAGGAATCACTCGGTGTGTCTGTGTGTGTGTCTGTCTGTGTGGGTAAAAGGGCATCGCGTGTGTGTGTGTGCGCGTGCGCGCTTGTGTGTGTGTATGTAAAAGGGCATCACCCCCTCCTCCCTCACAAAACAAGGTGCACTGAGCTCCTCAAGCCCTCAGTTCAGTGGGTTGATCGAAGTATAGCCAAAGTAGTTTACCGTGTTTTGTAAGATCTCTTTCTTTAGCAGATACATTCAAAAAAAATTTTCCACAACACCTGCCACAAGAATTGTGTCTTCTCTTCATTCCTCCTATTCAGGTACAGAATGGAGAAAAAGTAGGCAACCAGGGAGAGATGCACAGAGTCTAGCAAATTATTTCTAGCATAGGCACACACTTGTTATCTTCAGACTCAGCCTTGTTTTATAATTCAAAAAAAAAGAAAATGAAGGTCAAAGACGGTAGAATGCTTTACCAGTATTCTATATATTTACATATTATCAGCCAGGCTTAAAATAGAGCCGTAGCTATTTGACTTATCACTGCTGGCTTGGTTACTAGTTGATATCAACAAAAGAAAATCCCCTTGGACAGATCTTGTATAAATTAGCCAAGTATTATTAAATGACTTGTATGGTCTTAGCATTCCACTAGGTGCTAACAGGCACCTAAGAGAACTAAAGCCCATAGTCTTGACCTTGAAGAACTTTGTGATCTAGTTTGGATGCATTCAAAATGTTTCTGTTGTTTTTTGTTTTGCTTTTAAACTGCTGAATCTTGTCTTCCAAGAAGCTTTTAACAGAAGACCAGTAAATACATAGAGATTCTTCCTTCCTATCCATCTCCCCAATGTCATGGATTTTTGGGACAGAGCAGTGAATATACCATTGATCTCATGGATGAAGTAGAACACACATATGATGGGGGAAAAAAAAACAATGTAAGATGGAATTTAGCAACTGGACTCTGACCCTTAAAAAAGTCTCATCCTAGCCTCCTTTTACGTTTTTACAATTTTACAACTGAAGCAAGAGACATAGGCTTCAAGCCACACAACCTCTTGTGATCTGACTTCCAGGAAGTAGTACTCATCATTTTGTGCTTCAACAAAATGTTACTGTACAGTATAATTTTTTTCTTTTAACTTTTTTAATCTGAAGGGACTGGAGTTTGCTAGGAGGGGATGAGCAGAAAGGACAGGAGAAAACATACTTTATGTTAGAATGAAACCTGTGATCGCTGGTGGAAACTGTTTAGTATCAGTTGACCTCTTGCCTTTGATCACCTCCTTTGTCAAAATGACAACACTCTTTTGCAATTGAGATTGGTTCCTCTTTCAGACTTGGCTTCAAGATTTGATATTTTGGGGCCATGCTGTCTTTAGCCGTGGAAACCAAGAAATTAGGAATCCATAATCCTGGATTGCAATCCATTTCCCGTTACCAAGTGTTCAGAGTGTCCCAATGGCACTGTAAGTCACCTTTTATAGTGAATTGTTATTAGCTCACTTTTAGATAAAATTGGAACAGCTTGGCTTTTGTCAATGTAGCAAAAGATGTTTTTCTTTTAAAAAAAAAAAAAAAGGCAGGGGAGCCTGAACACAGTGGTATATACTTGTAATCCCAGCGCTTTGAGGCTGAGATGAGAAGATCTCATAAGGCCAAGAGTTCAAGGTCAGCCTGTGCAGCACAGGGAGACCTCATCTCTACAAAAAAATTGTGAAAATGAGCTGGGTGTAGTGGCACATCTGTAGTCCTAGGTACTCAGGAGGCTGAGGCAAGAGGATGACTTGAGCCCAGGAGTTCAAGGCTGCAGTAAGCTGTATATACACCAGCCTGGGCAATGGAGCAAGACCCTGTCTCTTAAAAAAAAAAAAAAAAAAAGAGAGAAATAGTAAAGCAGTATATTTTGTGTGGTTACATTAAATACCCTGTCTCACTGTGCTATGTATCCGTATGGAGTTTTACCATACAGAAGTACTGTATTTTCTAAATGATAAAAACTAGTGAATACTAAATTTTCTTAGCATAGTGATGCTAACTTATTGAATAATGTTACTTCTCCATAATGTTAACGAATTTAAAGTGCTACTATGGATGTTGACACTGATTTTTCTACGAAAATGATAAATTTTCAGTTTTTAAAAATTATTTTTTTAAATAGATGCCATGAGAGACCATCTGACCCAATTGTTTTATTAATCCGCTATGCAATAAAACTAGACCTGCATCTTTGAAAGGAAAAATTTAAGCGTCTACTGAATATAATATTAAAATGCCACCTTTAATTGTTAGAAAAGTATCTAAGGATGGTTTGAAAGTGTCTGCTTTCTATTCATGATGTATATATGTATATGTCTTTATGAAAATAGGTTATTGCAACGGCAGTTTCAAAGCAATAAAGAAAAGAAAAAAATAGATTATAGTGATTAACCTAGATAAATTTTATTCAGTTGTATAATTATGATCATAAACAGTTCTTAAACATGTCCAAAGAAGCCAAAAGCCAGTAGGCAATAAACTGTTCACATTTCCAGGAGAGTAACATATTTTGTCTGGAGCACTGAGGTTTATATAGAAACTTAAGAAATTGAGTCCTTGATCCTATGTCCTTTTGAGAATTATCAATGACTGGCATAAGGGATTAGATCAAGTGTATTGAATGATTTTGTCAAAGACGGGCTAAACAGGAAGTATAACAGGAAGACTGGCAGTTTCTGCTTTTGTCTTAGTGTTTTTGAGAGATAGTGCTGATTCCTGCTTACTAAGTTTGCATGTTTCAGAGTATTTAAACATTCTATATGCATGATGTTTTTCACAAAGGGAGTGGAGTGACCTCTTTAAACCATCATATCACACTGGTTTTCTTTTTTCTAAACCTCAGTTACTTTTGCACCATCCTAATACTAAGCTTTCCTCTTCGTAGACGAACAGGAGTTGGTTAGAAATGTTTTAAACAAATCCATTGACTGGGAGTAGGTATTTTTGAGTGCATGGGTTAGATTGTTACACAGCTGCAAATACTACATGACTTTATAACAGGACGTTCGGTTACAGCTCCTAGGTCCTTTGGTCTGTTTAAAAAAGCTGTACCCATCAGCCTTTCAGAAGGGCCTCCCAGAGTAGTGTTGACAAAGACTTCAGTCAATGTTAAATATAACTCTCATTCCTTCTTTGATTAAAGATCTGTAACACGACAGTTGTTTGATCATATCATGTTTTCACAGTTGTCCAAAGTGTTCTGATTCTTTTTAATCGTAATTACATGTATAAAGGGGTATTTTTGGAAAAGTGAAGAATCCTCTTTCATAGTGTCCTAGTGCAGTTGTTACCTGCATCTATCCCTGTTAAATACCGTTAGCTTGATTCCCTAGCACACAGATGAAGCATTTTGCCAGTTGTTAAACATGGAAAAGTCAAACTTCACAAAACAGCTAGTCACCACTTTACCACAGGCAACTTCACTAAGAAGTTTTGTTATGAAACTCACTGCAGTTTATAAAACGAGGAGTCTATTTTTAAATAGATAAGATGTGTTTCTTAACTTCCCTTGTAAAAACTTGGCTTCAAACCTTGCTAGAGTTCTTACATTGCCACTTAAGCACTGTCCACACACACTGTTTTGGGGGGGAATGGGTTTTGTTTCATTTCCTGTATCCTTTATAACAAGGGTTGTTGGCTTTACCAGCAGCATTCAAACAGTTAAGACTGTCTGAAGGAAACAGGCAGCCCCAGCCCTCCCTCCTTCCCTTTCTCAACCAGTCTCTGGCTTCCTCTTACGGTTTCACTAATGGCAGCTCAAAGCTGCTGAGCTCTGCCTTGACGGCATGCACCCCCGCTTCTGTGAGAGCACATTGCCTGGAATGGGGGTCGAATCATGTCGATAAAATGGGGTCGGTTTCACGAAATACCCCACGTAACAGTGAGATTCATAGGACCAAAGCATGGGGAGGTAAGAGCCTGACTTCTTTAAAGCACTAAATTCTAAGAAACACAGAAAGGTGTAGTGGAGTTAGTTGTTTTGTTTTGTTTCTATCCTGGGAAGAACTAATTTGGATTGTTGCAAAGGGAAACTATTTCTTATTTATTCAGATTTGAAGAACATTGCAAGGCTTGAGAGGAAAAGCTAAGATTTTTTAAACTATTACATTATGCTTTAACTTTCCTGAGCAAAAAATCAGATGCTTTTCATTTTAACATTTTATGCATGGAAAAACCTTTAGCAAAATTTAGTTAAAGAAATTATTTGAAAAAAACTCAAGTTTTATTGTTGATTGTTATTCAAGTTTTATGTACTTTAGTGGTTACCAATTTTCACTCAGAACAGTTTCCTGTTTTGTAAAGTGAAGGAGTTTTTCTCTCTTCCTCTCTCGTTATTTTTTATAGTTTAAAAGTATAGTAATTTGGCCCTAAAGTGTTCATTATATGTATTTTATTAACAAAAGGCTTCACATGAATCATAGATCTAGTAAATATCTACCATTTCATTACAGTGGATGGGTTCTGAACAGAAAGTCAGAACACCTGGGTTCGTATTTCGACTGCCGATCATCTGTCGTGTGACCCTTTGCAAGTCAACCAATCTCTCCAGTCCCTGGCAGCATAATGCAGTGCGTGAGAGCTGAGCTTTACAGCCAGCCAGATCTGAATCTTAACTTCACCTTGGGCAATTATTGGCATGTAGCCTCAAATGCATTATTAAACATCTCTAAGCTTCCATCTCTTAAGATGTAAAATGGAGATAATAACTAGTACTCAATTCATTGGGTTGTTGTGAGAAAATACATGTAAATTGCTTATTACAGTGCTTAGCACATGGTAACTGTTGAGATTTTTAGGTGTTTTCCCTTTATCCTCTGCATTGTCAAATGGGAAGCATCATGCTCACCCTGCCCACTTCAGAGTTAGAGTCAGATGAAGTGATGTATGTAGAAGACATTGATTCAAAATGTAAGGCATTTAGTAGTTGTCATGATCACTAACTTGGGACACCCATTTTTTCTGGAGCTTTTTTAGGACATAACAATAGGACTGGCAATAGGTAAAATCTCCTGCCTCTGTGAATGGTAGTTCTTTGTAGTCCAGTTGGTCCAAAAGGAAATTATTCCATTGATACTAATTTACCAGCCAAGTAGTCTGCCAAACAGTGCTTCTAAAGGGCCTTTTATGGAGAGTATGGCTATATCCCCGTGGTCCTGGCCTCCTCAGAATGGTATCCACCTGAAATGTCCCTGACTGCTTTAGGTGTTTAATTAAGGACCCAACACTCATCAGTAGTTCTTCAAGTTTTCAAGGTTTGAATTCTTTTCCATTCTTCTTCGTGACTGTGTAAGCTTTAATAACAGTCCCTGAGATTGTAGCTTGATGTCATGTGAGTCCTCCCCTTTTGGTCTATCTCTAGAACATTTCTGACATTCTTACGTTGTTCTTGAGGTGACATGGCCAAAGTAATCTGGCACTTAGAGCTCCTGACTCCCAGCCCAGTGCTTCACTGGTCACCCAGTCTGATCTCTCCTTTTCTGGTGTCCCCTGCGCTTCGTATCTGGTCCAGTTATGGCCTGCTTAGTAATTGGAAGCACCTGGGCAGTGGCTGGGCACACAGGAAGAACAAGATGAGTATCAGTTTCTGTTGCCATTCTGACAAGTGACGGAAGACCACAGGAAAGAAAGGAGCTGCATAAAAGAGGTCAGAGAGTACATCTTAGGAAGCTTATCTTTCCAACCTAAGGACACCGCCTACTTTTCCTACCTTCCTGCGCCCCTAGGTTCTCAGGGAACCGGAGTGAGTGAGCTGCTAGGCCTTGAGACTTCCTTTCCCTGGTACCCCATTTTCTTAAAGAAAGTGACCCCGTTGTTAACTAGCTTGAGGGACAACAAAGGCAGTTTTTGAGAAGAATTATTATTAGTATTATTTTTTTGAGATGGAGTCTCGCTCTGTCACCTAAGCTGGAGTGTAGTGGCACCATCTTGGCTCACTGCAACCCCTGCCTCCTGGGTTCAAGCAATTCTCCTGCCTCAGCCTCCCAAATAGCTGGGATTACAGGCACCCACCACCACACCCGGCTAATTTTTGTGTTCTTAGTAGAGATGGGGTTTCACCATGCTGGCCAGGCTGGTCTTAAACTACTGACCCCAGGTGATCCGTCCGCCTCGGTCTCACAAAGTGCTGGGATTACAGGCGTGAGCCACCACACCCAGCTGAGAAAAATTATTAACAAGGCTCCCTCCTGTCAACTGCGCATTCTCCTATCCTGCCTGCCCTGCACCGTTGTTCTTTAGCCACTCCCCAATTTCTTTTATCTTCCTGGCTCACATCAAAACTTCCTTTCCTTTACTGCAAGCAGTACCTTTCCATGTTGGCTTTGGAGAATAATGAGCTAGTGAAACTCATTTCCAGTAAATTATGACTAATTATTGTTATATTGCTAAGCATCATTGTGTATTCACTGTGTGCCATAAAAAACATATGAGATGGGTACTTATTCCCATTTGAAAAATGAGAAAACTGATGCTCAGAGAAATAACTTACCCAGGATCAGGCCATTACCGAGAAGTAGTAGCAGAACCTGAATCTGAACCAAGGTCTGGCACCGTTGTCTGTGTTCTTAACCACGGTGCGGTTTTCCAGCCTCCCCCTCTGATCAGTCTCCTCTTGCCAGTTTGAAAATTAGGCCAAAGGTAATATTTAGAAACCTTAAAATTCTAATTAGCAAAGACTGAAAATGTATATGTGGAGCATATTTCATATTTCTGACTAACGTAAAGGAGGAAACTTCATAGATAGCCCCTCATTTAGGGAAATGCGATTGATGTGAGAAAGCTAGAGAGGAGCCTCGGTAATTTTTCATGTGGCCCAGCCATCTTTCCCTCCCTCAGGCCAGTCCCAGAATTGCTACCACTCTTTCTTCTGCCCTCTGCCTAAAGCTGACCCTAAACCCATGGCTTTCTTCCTGCATGGACTGTGGTGTGGCTTGCTGAGGAAGGGCTGTGCTGAGGGTCTCAGAAGCCTCTTTACAGGCCATTGTGTCTGTCAGTAGAAATAACCACTGAATAAGCCACTGCCGAGACTATTCAGCCTGCTCAGTTTTCATGTGAATTTTCTAATGTATCTTGCATGCCAACATCTTAATTAAAAAAAAAAAAAAACTTTGCCCAGAACTTTGTTTCTCACTGTTGTCCAAAATAGTCAGCAGCCACTCTTTATCACATGCCATCTGGATACCCAGGTAAGGAGAAGGCCCTTCAGTGTACAATTAACTGTGGATTCTTTTCTTTTGTTTGGCAGGAAAAAGAAAAAGAAAAAGATAAGATTAAGGAGAAGGAGAAAGATTCTAAAGACAAAGATAAGAAGACTCTCAACGGGCACACTTTCAGTTCCATTCCTATTGTGGGTCCCATCAGCTGTAGCCAGTGTGTGAAGCCTTTCACCAACAAAGATGCCTACACTTGTGCAAGTAAGAGATGTGCTTCTTCCTCTCATAAGATGGAACTCTCTTGGCTCAGGAAAGCTCATTTCTAGTTTCCTGTCCACCCCACTCTTTATCTGTTCCTCATTTATGTGGAGAAGTAACCCTTTTTATATCTTTCTTTAGACATGATAAAAGAAAGAAATTCTAGATACGTAGTATACACCCAGTATTTTTTTCAGACAGCCTCAATTTCAAATACAAATGGTCCCTAAATTAAGATGGTTCAACTTAGAATGTTTTAACTCTACAGTGGTTTGAAACAGTATCCATTCAGTAGAAACTGTACTTTGAGTACCCGTACACCCGTTCTGCTTTTCACTTTCATTGCAGTATTCAATAAATTATATGATACAGTCAACACTTAATCATAAAATTGGCTTTGTGTTAGATAATTTTGGCCAACTATAAGTGTTTTGAGCATGTTTGTTTACGACAGACCAGGCTAAGCTATGATGTCCAGAAGGTTAGGTGTGTTTAAATGCATTTTGACTTAGAGTATTTTCAACTTACGATGGGTTTATGTGGATGTAGCCTCATTGAAAGCTGAGGAGCACATCTACATTCTGTTCTGTGATCTCTAAACCACTATACTTTTTTTTGTTTTGTTTTGTTTGTTTGTTTGTTTTTGAGATGGAGTTTTGCTGCTGTTGTCCAGGCCAGAGTGAAATGGCTTGATCTGGGCACACTGCAACCTCTGCCTCCCAGGTTCAAGCAATTCTCCTGCCTCAACCTCCCAGGTAGCTGGGATTACAGCCATGCGCCACCATGCCCAAGTAATTTTTTGTATTTTTAATAGAGACGGAGTTTCTCCATGTTGGTCAGGCTGGTCTCAAATGCCCGACCTCAGGTGATCCTCCTGCCTTGGCCTCCCAAACTGCTGAGATTACAAGCATGAGCCACTGCGCCTGGCCCACTACATGTTTTAAAAGTCTGTGTCAGCATCAAAATTTTCCATTGCCCCAAACCCCAAAGCTACTCAGTGGCCTTTTGTTAGATCATATGTGCCTGTTTTTATTCTGTTACTTTGCTGTATGCTTTAACCATTACCACCATTAAGCCATAGTTACTGCCAAGAAAGAGTACGTCCATGCACAGAGACATTGTGTGTTGACCTGCTGAAAGCTAGGTCTGCTAACAGAGCATGGTTCCTTGTTTTGATAAGACGCTCTCAGGCAGGAGTTGCTTAACTTTTTCCGTACAAGTACAGGTAAAAAGTGTCTTAGGCGTGAGCCAGATGGCCTCTGTCACAATTCTTGAACTCAGCAGTTGCAGTACAAAAGCAGCCATAGACAATACGTAAACCAATGAGTGGGATTCCAGTAAGTCTTCACTTATGAATAGTGAAAATTGAATTTCATAAAACTTTTTGTTATGTAATGATCTTCTGTGTTTTGTGTTTTTTGTGTTTTTGATGAAATCTTGCTCTCGTCACCTGGGCTGGGGTGCAGTGATACGATCTTGGCTTACTGCAGCCTCCCCTTCCCAGGTTCAAGCGATTCTCCTGCCTCAGCCTCTTATGTAGCTGGGATTACAGGCACCTGCCACTATGCCCAGCTAATTTTTGTATTTTTAGTAGAGACAGGGTTTTGCCATGTTGGCGAGGCTGGTCTCGAACCCCTGACCACGTGATCCACCTGCCTCAGCCTCCCGCAGTGCTAGGATTACAGGTGTGAGCCACCACACCCTGCCTGCATCTTTCAATTTTTAAAAACTACATAAAATGTAAAAATTATTCTTAGTTCATGGGCTATACAAAACTAGGCTTCAAGCCACCTTTAGCCCACAGACCATAATTTGTACATTTTTCCTCTAAGACAATGCATCTCAAAATTTTGTCAATGCACAGATCAAAAGTAGTATTTGTAGAGCATACCAGGGTAAATCAGGGAGGCTCCTCGTGGTCAGAGGTGACAATCTGGAGATCCAGCCGGCCCAGGCCCAGGCCCAGGCCAGTTACCCAGAATGCTGAGGTAATTAACATAGTGTTATACCTATAACCAATTCAGGTAAAATAGTGATGAATTCAGATGCCAAGAAGCAACTCTCAAACCATGATGTCCTAGAATCCTTTTTTAGTCATTTATGTTGGATAGGCCAAGTAATTTCTTACTAAAAATAGTTAACTTACTGAAATTTGATTTTTTTTTTTTTTTTTTTTTTTTGAGGCAGGGTCTCACTAGTTGCCCAGGCTAGTCTTGAACTCCTGACATCAGATGATCCTCCTGGCTCAGCCTCCTGAGTAGCTGGTATTAGGCATGCACCACTGTGCCTGGTAGAAATTTGAAATGTTTAAAAGTGTATTTGGGTGGGCATGGTGGCTTATTCCTATAATCACAGCACTTTGGGAGGCCAAGGCAAGTGGATCACCTGAAGTCAGAGATTCAAAACCAGCCTGGCCAACATGACAAAACCCCGTCTCTACTAAAAATACAAAATTAGCTGGACTTGGTGGCACACATCTGTAATCTCATCTGCTCAGGAGGCTGAGGCAGGAGAATTGCTTGAACTCAGCAGGTAGTGGTTGCAGTGAGCCAAGATCACACTGTTGCACTCCAGCCTGGGTGACAGAGCAAGACTCCGTTTCAAAAAAAGAAAAAACAAAAGTGTATTTCGGCAGATTGGAAGTTATTTCTAGGATAATTTTCACTCACTTTCTTGTGTGGAAGAGAAGGAGTGGAATTGGAGCTACTGTGACTTTTTGAAATGACTGACTTTATGGCACCCATCCATGTAAAAGCATTTTTATGGATACTATGCTTCCACAGTAGTCAGCAACACTATTTGTTTTACTGTCCTATTTTTTCAGAAGTAACAATAAACCGTGAGAGCTGTCACCCAAATCTTTTTGCATCCCTATGGGCAGAGGTCACACACATTAATGTCATCCTTCTTTTGTGACTTACCAGACCATTGAGAGCTACTACCACATAGTAATAATTTCATGTAACCTCTGGGAAACAAGAGACTGTCACCGCCCTGTATGTCTTCAGCGTTTACTTTGGAACTCAGGTTCTAATAGGAGTCTTTTCTAGGACACCAGTTGAAGATCTATAGTTTACTTTTTAGCCACCAGACAGAGTTAGCCTTTTAGTACTGGAGAATAACCTGGTTGCCTAGAGCAGTAGTCACCAAGCACTTTTTAGCACGTTCACCTATTATTAAAATGTTTTTAACATCCTCACACAGGATACATATATCACATAAAAATTACACAGGAGCCCTACTATGCCGTACTTGACAAGAGCTCATTCTAAGAATAAGAGAGGTCTCAGAATTGGCATTTTCTTCTTTTCTGGTTAGTTATTAGTATGATAGATAGTATTGTGTATGATTCATGACTTCTTTGAAGGAATTTGTGTAACTCTCATTTTCATTTTATTTTAGTTGAAACCAGGTAACATAATCCATAAGCTCACTTTATTGGGTACCTGTATGTTTCCATTCATCATAACATGCTAAAAGTAAGCAAATGTGGATTATGCTTCCCTAGCCCACCTCCTGGGTAAAGAACACCCCACTCCCTCAAGAAACCTGTAGCATCATATGTAAAGTGAGGCTGCCTAACATAAAGACTGAGCAAGGTACCCGTATGTCAGTTAGACATTAACTCAGTTTTTCTTTTGCATTAAGTCAGTTTAAATAAAGAGCTGTAAAATTTTCCTCCTGCATCGCTTTTTACATCCCTCCTTGCAGTGTGCCAGTTCTTCTTTTAGGGGGATCACTGATCTCTGAAAAATGGGAAGAAGCTGTATATCTTGATTGGCAGTATGAAATTAATATTCAGGGAACTTCAGTAAAGCAGACTAGATACCTGCCTTCTGCTATAAAATATAAAAATGCTGGATGTAATATGTATATTTTTAAAACGAATGCATAGCTGAACTTGCCAAATAGAAAATCCCTGAGGGACCTCAAAATCAGAGCAGTAAAGAGCATGCGCCCTCAATTGGGGTCAGGATATACGGCCTCAGGGCATGTAGCAGGAGCTGGAACTGAGACCCCTGTATAAAAAACCCTGTTTTAAGACTAACATCTGGCCGGGCGTGGTGGCTCACGCCTGTAATCCAAGCACTTTGGAGGCCAAGGCGGACGGATCACCTGAGGTCGGGAGTTCAAGACCACCAGCCTGACCAACATGGTGAAACCCAGTCTTTAAAAAAAAAAAGACTAACATCCATGATGAAGGACCTTGAAAAATTCTACCCAGTGGCCTTCCGAAGCAGAAAGGAACTTTGCAGACTACCCAGGACCCTGAGTAAGAATTCATGAATCTGGGGTCCAAATTTATACCATCTGTATGTGCTGGAACTTCAGGCTAAGAAACTTTTACAAGAGGTTTCATGAAATTCCAATTTAGGAGTGACAGATCCTTGAGGGACCCAGCTTGTAGCAGATATAGAGCTGCTCCATTGGATCAGGCTGACAGAGCAGGATGCCCAAGGCTACTGTGGGAGGAAAAATCCTGTGACGCTGAGCTCACTACAAAAGATACATAGATGTCACATAAGGAAGTAAACTACCGAGAGGAAGAATTAGGAGATGCATAAGCAAGAGATGTAGAAAATTACTAAAAGGGGCCGGGCGTGGTGGCTCACACCCATAATCTCAGCACTTTGGTAGACTGAGGCGCGCAGATCACGAGGTCAGGAGTTCAAGACCAGCCTTTCCAACTTGGTGAAACCCTTGTCTCTACTAAAAATATGAAAATTAGCCAGGCATGGTGGCTCACGCCTATAATCCTAGCACTTTGGGAGGTGGAGGCGGGTGGATCGCCTGAGGTCAGAGTTTGTGACTAGCCTGAGCAACATAGTGAAACCCCATCTCTACTAAAAATAGAAACAAAAAAAAAAATAGCCAGGCGTGGTGGTGGGCACCTGTAATCCCAGCTACTCAGGAGGCTGAGGCAGGAGTATCACTGGAGCCCAGGAGGCAGAGGTTGCAGCGGGCCGAGATCACGCCATTGTACTCCAGCCTGGGCAACAAGA